AAGGTATGATTTTGATAAATTAAATATTAGTACTTTATTTTATACGTTTCTTAATTCTTTTGTTAAGTTTTCGTACATTAATTTATGTTCTGTTGTTTCCTTTCTCTATCGCTAAATACCAACTTTCCTAATTTTAACACATAATGTTTCAAAAAAAAAATTTAAATAGTCCCTACCAAACATGGACTACATATCAAAACATTGGTCGTGTTGGCTTTATGTTTTTGATTTTTGGCCCAAACTGTGTTACATCCTCTACAAGACTGCATGAAATAATAAGATCGCCATGGATGAAGGCATTCTTTATATCAAGTTGATGTAGCGGCCAATCGAGGGCGGCTATAAGAGATAATAGGATTCATAATGTGTTTAATTTTGCAACTGGTGAAAAACTCTTTTTGTAGTCTGTCCGATATGTTTGCGTATAGCCTTTTGCTACCCGCCTTTGTTTTTTTAAAATGTAATTAATTAACCTTAAAGCTGAAATATCAGCAAGAACTATTTCATCACAATTTCACCATATAGTTAATGGATAAATTAGCCAAAACTGTCAATTTGACTTTCCAAAGAATCATTAGGGTAAAAACGACTATTATATTATTATAGTCATGTTTATATTTTACTCTCCTTAATTTAAAAAGGATGCCATAGTCATTTCATAATCACCACCCTCACCCCCGGAAAGGGAAAATAAAAAAATAAAAAAAAATAAAATAGAAAAAAGAAAGTAAAATTACAGCAGAAATACAAGACAAATGGAATCAATTAGAATGCCATTTGAATGATTATTACATCTAAATATTTAAATTACTAAAGAGAAGCAAATAAATTTTGATTTATATTTACATATGTAACTTTATCCGATTTTTAATCATTAATTTCATGGGATCCATCAGTTTTTTTTTATCAACTTTATTTCTTTAAAAAATTACCTCAAAGCTACTCTAAATTAGGTTTTTTTTCTCCATGTATTGCAAGCCTTTTAGACCCTGTTTGGCTTGGATTAAAATCCAATTAAAATTTCAAATCAAAGTCAACAATTTATTTTAACCACGCATTTCATGGGACCCACAACTTTTCAACCACACATTTTATTAAGTGGGTGTTTGGTGGGGATTAAAATTAGATTTTTAGTAGATTGTAATAGAAACTTTTGAAATTTATAGATGAAAAGTTGTGGGACCCATGAAAGATGTGGTTAATATTAAT